CAAAAGATGTTTCTTCCAGAGGAATGTAAGGAACATGTTTGCTCGGAAGTAAGTCCCATGACATTCAATGGAGTGTACCATTAGTACGTATGTTTAGGACTGAAGTCCAGATGTAGTTGATGCAGACAGTATATTAAATATGTGCCAGGAGAAGAAATGTTACTGTTAATGGATAGTTTATATTCCTGTCATCACGATTCTGCTGTTGCTCACTTCCCCTTTAATAATTCTTCTTGCTGCAGTGCTTACTGTTGTTTTGATTTCTAATATTTTGACAAAGCCTCAGCTGATGGAGCTCCTGGGGTTTTAGGAGTTTCATAGCAGGGAGCTCTGGCATTTGAGGAAAGGAGAGGAGGGAGCCTCAAACATTCTAGTATCAATGTGCATGTCAAAAAGCTCGCTGCTAGGATTTTAATCAGTGTAGCTGGTGATTAGGGCTGCTAGCTGAAACTGGTGGAGCCTATGGGGAGAGGGATAATCCTGCATCTTTTTGTACTGGGAGATGAAGTGGGGCTGCTGTAGCCAGCACCTTACCAGTGAATGCTCAGTTCAGGATGCCCTTGTAATTCTAAGTCTTCAATCTTATGCACATTTACCTGGGAATAAACTCCATGGGACTTAATGGGTATTACTTCTAAGTGAACATGTATAGGATAGAGAAGGATGACAAACATGATGAAGGTTGAGGACCTATTGATTGTGGTCTCAGTGCTCAGAAGTTCCTGAACAGTGGAGGCTTTGGAGCATCCAGGGGAGAGTGGGGGCAATGGTGGATGAGATTGTCTCCTCCCCACATCTCCTGCTCTGTGTTTCAGTGAGATGGCTGATTTCAACCAGCTGTTGGAGACACCTTGGAGGGGGAGGCAGGGGCACCATCAGGATGCCTTGTATCCCAGAGGTCCATCTCCTCCCTTCCCACTCCTCCAAATGCTCCCTTTATCCCCTCTCAGAAGTCAATGTTCTGACCTTGGAGAGTCAGCTGGGGCATTATTTTCTTACTGACTCTGAAGGGTGGGCAGGGGAATCAGAGCACAGGTAGTTAGCTCCAAGGCCGGAGCACTGTTTCTGCACTCAGATCTGGCTCATGATCTCATGGCCCCACAGACGCTGGCTAGGGATCTCTGGAAGGCAAACCATCTAAGAGGAAAGGCTATGATCACTTGGACTATTCAGCTCTGGGGAAAAAGCAAGTGAAGAGGAGGCATGTACAAAGTTATTTTCTGCATTTCTAGTATCCAGGATCGTTCTGTGAAGCTGAATGGTGGGAGAGATTCAGGACCAAGAAAAGGAAGTACTTCATGCAGCATATCGTTAAACCATGGAATTAACTATGACAGCATGTAGTGAAGGCCATCAGTTTGGATCACTTTGAAAAGATATTAGTCCGTTTACAGTTGTGTATCCTGATAATTTTATGCTACCTCCAGTATGTGCTTCTGTGCACCAGTTGCTGGAAACATGAGTGGGATGGTGCTATTGAGGTCATACCTTCCTTTGGGCTTCCTCTAGGCAGCTGTCTGACCTCTGTGTGGACAGAATGCTGGACTGGATGGGAGCTGGCTGCTCTTCTGGTGTGCTCAGGCCTGCACAGCAGAGTTGCATGCTGCGGTGACCTTCACCCTTCCTCACACTGTTGGCCTGGCCGTCAATGTTCAGCACCCAATAGAAACCTGCATCGTGTCCCTGCGGGCGTGCATCTGCCCCCCTCTGTCCCATCCAGAGATTCATGAGTTGTGCTCGAAAGGTCTCTATTTTAATTCTGAAAGTATATTTGCTACATTTCTGAAACTACACCATGGCTCCACACCTGAGTTTTCCCACCCCATCTCCTGTTTGGTATTTTTATTTCACTCAGCATTGTGCCTGAACAACAGTCCTAGAGAGCTTGTGAGGTAGTGTGTAGCCTTTTGGTTGGTCCTGATAAAAGCATTAATTATCCTGCCAATTAAAAAAATCTAATGGGCCAATGCAGCTGCAAACATTTTATAAGGAGACCAATTCACTTCAAAGCCTTGTTTTTCTAGCCATTTTCATTGCAAACTCATGAATTATCTCTAAAAAGCCATTTTCTTGTGCAAATTCTCATTCAATAGACAAAATAGCTAGTAAACAGCACAGCACTTGATGGGTAGCACTGCTAACCACCTGGCCTCCCAGTGCCTTTTTCTTGTTAAAAGTCATATTTGAGAAGAAATTCAGAAAAATGTCCAGCAGCAGATTTTGATATTGATTTGCTAACGTCTGCATTTCTTCAAAAATTGCCAGATAAAACTGTTTTTAACAAATAGTATTTATTACATTTTAAGGGCATGAGCCAGGATCTTTTGCAGGGGAGGGAGGGACGGTTGGGAACATGCATCAAGAAGCATAACAGCACTGTCCCCTGATTTTCGCAAACTTTATTTCTGAACGTGGCTGTGCTAATGGCATACTAATAGCTATTGCCTGCCTATCTTTTGTAAGCATTAGAGTGCTGTCATAAATGCACCTGCCAGTGTTTATTTTCACCAGCTGCCACAGAAAACATTTCTGTAACTTTCAGCCTAGTTTGCTGCTCTCAAGTTCCTTAAACCAGACTGCAGGAAGGCCTTCTCTGTTTCGCAAACAAAACACAATTGGAGGTTTGATTCAGATCCTTTAGCATCTGAGATCCCTCTGTTCATCTCCTTATGTGCCTTGATGCCTTGAACTGTATTTAGAGCTAGACCTGGGGCTGTGTGTGTGTGAAATATTTATTCACCTACATTTTGGGTCCGTAAATTCTACCCTGAAGCACTGGTTCCAGCTGCCTCTGGGATCGATACCCCTGAGTGTTAGAGTGCTTCGTCCCAGCTTTATACATGAAACTTTGGCACTGGTAGTTCTTGAGAAAACATGGCCCTTGGGATACAGTCCTATCCCGACCACAACAGATGTGCGCAAGCTTTCAAACAGAGAAGCTTACCTATAACCAACGGCAAGTGCGAGGCCCAGTGGTGGTGATCTTTGCACCCTGGCCCCATGGTTTTCTCCTATGGAACAATCTTACCAATTGCTGTTACTGTCGGTTCCAACATGGCAGAATATGCCTGATATTGCTGAGAATTCTCTAGGCCTCCCATGGTTGTATCTTTTTACTCCCCTACTCTGGCTCTCCCATCTGCACTATGGAAAATCATGCATTCATGTACAATTTCACACTTCATGCCTTATTCTCAAATCCTTTCAATAGTCAGTCCACAGAGAGATGCATTTGGGTTGGGAAAATACCAGGATTTAAAGGTGTGCAGGGAAAGAAATTCTCCACAATCATCTATTCCATCAGCCCCAGTCTGGGTCCCTTTAGAGGTCTTGGACTGCAGTTCCTATCATCCTTGACTACTGGCCATGCTGTCTGGGTCTGATGTGAGCTGTAGGCCATAATATCTGCAGAGACCATGGTTGGGAAAGTCTACCCTACTCATTGTTGGATTTAAATTTTCATTGGTTGGAGCAGTATTTTTTCATGAATGTTGCCTGTATTATTTTGATTTCAAGCCATTTCTGTTCCCATTGTTTTTAAGATGGCTTTTTTAAGGCACAGAATGAAATAAATGAAAGGTTGTCCATTCTGTACTCTTTCCTTTCAGGATTAATAACAAAGAAACTGATGGGAACCATTTTTTTTAATTAATCACAAAACATATCCAATGTCCCTTTTAGAACTTGGCTCCATACAGCAGGGTTGGATTCATTCCTAACATTTTTTTTCTAGAGCTATTTTGTCAGAGTATTGCTCAAGGTGGACCCTTCTGTACTTGAAGAGTTCTCATTACTAACACTGAATAGATCAGTCACTCGCTGAACACTAGAACTATAGAAAAGACTCTTCATTACTTCCAGTGCTGACTGAATGTCCGCGAAGAAACCAGTGAGTGGACTGGAACCATTTTGTCCTCCCTGGTGGCAACGCTGTGCTTCTTCTTGCTTAGGCTGGTATCTTTTCCCTTCATCGTCCTCTTTACACAATACAATTTTGTATTCATCCATCTGCCATTTATTAATGTTGCATTTTGTCCAAAACAGGGTAAATTATTTCTTTTAAATCACTCCTGGCTCTGAAATGGAAGTGCCGAAAAGGTGGCATTGACCACTGTTCATCATAAGTATAGTTTCTGACCTTCAGGCACAGTTTGTGATCTTCACCTTCAGGGCTGTTCCCCTCACCCAAGCCCCCTTTTAGACCAAATTTCTCACAGGTAGAACAACAGTCAACATATGTCTGGGCAGTGGCACTACACCCACTAACTCTGCACTCAGCGTTGCTTCTCCCATATTGACATCCACATTGTGTATGAAGGTCCAGAAAGACAAAGCCACGAAGGCAAATCTTTGCAGACACAGGTTCCCACATGTCTGAAGACCCTGATCATAGAAACATAGAAACAGAATGAGTCAGAAGGGGTCTCCCGGGCCATCTAGTCTGACCCCCAGCACCAGCTGGCTCCGCTCACGACATGCCCACCATGTGCATACAGGTTTCCCAATCATGTTGGCACACGTGTGTCAGTTTTCTCTTGAGAGTTGGCCATCCTAAAGGCATGGGTGTCAGGGGACGGGTTTTGCATGCTGCGTCTTGTTCTTGTGCTGACCCCTTTTTTTTAAACAGCTCCCAAACAAGAGTCCACCACCTTCTGAAACAACCTTTTCCCATGTCAAAGAGCTCATTCTTAGCTTAGATGCCTTAACGAGTGACTTCCTAACCGTTCCAGAGCACTTAAGAAAGGAAACCAGTTACGCAGATGGTGGGCTCTCTCTGAATGGTGGCCTTTGAGCAGAGACTGGCCAGCCATTTGCTGGAGATTTCTGGCAGCGAGCAGAGGCCTTGTGATGTGGAGGTTGCAAGAGTGAATGCCTGTGAACTGTGACACTTACACGCCCTGTGTCCCCCTTCTGCAACCTCGTATGATTTGCTTTGCATGTGTCTTCTTGGGCAGAGATGCTGTCTCTCCTAACGACGCTTCATTTGCTGTCTTTCACAGCTGGCTGTACCTTTGAAGAAGATGGGGACTTCAATCAGTGTGAGTACAGTCAAGGTGTGGAGGATGATTTTGAATGGGAACTGGTCCAGAGCTATCGCATGCCCCACCTGACCTCTGATCTTCCTCATGGTGAGTTTGCCTGACAAAGAACTTTTGGTCACCTTGCAGCAGAGGTGCAGAACCTCTTTCAGCCCAAGGGCTGAATCTCAGTTTCGAGAACCTCCTGAAGGTTGCATTCCAGTCGTGGATGGAGCTTAGGGCAAAAGGCACAGAGCCAAAATTGCCATTTTTTTTTTAGCTTAAAGCTCGTACTGTCAGTAACAGCCTTAGGAGAGGCATTTCAACTTTTTAGAATGGTAGGGCAGGGAGATCACACAAAAGCTGAGGAACAGGTCAGGGAAAGTCAATGGGACCTTCAGTTGAATTCTATGGAACTAAATGGGGAGCCCAGAGGGCCAGATTTGGCCCCTGGGGCAAAGGCTTTGCATCTCTGATTCACAAAGAATGAAATGCATCTGTGCCACAGACTTTCATTAGCCGATGTCCATTTATTCAGTAGCTGCCTAAATAGGTAGGCATGTCTAGCTTGAAAACCATGGGAAGAATAAGAAGGAACATATTGTTTTACAAAGTAAGGCTGAAGAGTCAAGCATAATTCTGTTTTAGCTTGGAAATATTTTTGGTTACTTCTATATGTGTGTTTTAATGATCCATTATGTTATTTGATTTATCATTACTCAATGTTTGTTTTACTTACTGTAAACTACCCTGAAAACTTTACAGTGGAGTTGGCTTAAAAATAGTATAAACTTCGTATTGCCTTGAAAATAAATGAGTAAACAAGACTTTGTGATTATCCTAAACAAGATATAGTATATTACTTTTATCCCTGTGCAATGGAACAGTTGAACCATACAGAAAGATCTACTTGAATGAGAACCATGTTCTTCAGTGGGTTTTTTTAAAACTTGTTAGTGCAATGTAATAGGAGACAAATTCATGTGGTTCGTGTATTAATATTAATTGATCTAATTCACACATCCCAAGCCTCATACATGAACTGGAACACAGTCATCCTTCAATATTTTTTTTCATTTTTCTGATTTTTGCAATTCGATTCCCTAATCAGAAAATGCATTAATCAGATAATGGATTCATTAAGGGAAATACCACACATATAGGCATAACTTATGGAAAATTGCTTGTAAAATGTGCATATGGGGGAAATGCATATAAAAGTTATGCATATAGAAAAATAGAAACATAGAAACAGAGCGAGTCAGAAGGGACCTCCCGGGCCATCTAGTCTGACCTCTGGCACCAGCCAGCTCCGCTCATGACATGCTCATCACGAGCATGTTCATCCCATCTTTGAACACCCTCACCGATGAGGCCTCAACGACCTCTCGTGGAAGCCCATTCCACACCCTCGGGGTCCTGACTATCAGGAAGTGCTTCCTGGCATCTAAATGGAACCTTGGCTCCCTGAGCTTTGCTCCGTTGGAGCGCGTCCTGCCTTCCTCTGCAGGGGAAAAAGAGTCATGACCCACCTCCACATGGTACCCCCTCACATACCTGTATGTCACCAACAGATCCCCTCTGAGTCTCCTCTTCTCCAGGCTGAAGAGACCCAGTTCCTTCAGTCTTGCCTCATACGGCATCCCCTGCAAACCGGCCACCAACCTTGTGGCCCTACGCTGCACTAACCTGGCTATATCCTTTCTGTAATGAGGGGCCCAAAACTGAGCACAATACTCCAGTTGTGGGAGCACCAGAGTCATATAGAGTGGTAGTAATACCTCTCTCGATCTAGAAGCCACACTTCTGGCTATGCAACCAAGGGTGGCGTTCGCCCTCTTGACCACCGCATCACATGGCTGACTCATGTTTAGCCTGCAGTCAACCAGCACCCCGAGGTCCCTTTCACAAGTGCTGCTCTCCAGCCACTTGTCACCTAACCTGTACTTATGACAGCTATTCCTATGCCCCAAGTGCAAGACCTTGCACTTATCCACATTGAACACCATCCTGTTGTCTCCTGCCCACTTGCATAGTCTGTCCAGATCCTTTTGGATCTGGAGTACCTGCTCCTCAGTTGTGGCCACTGCTCCAGTTTTAGTGTCGTCTGCGAATTTGATCAGCAGACTGTTCACCCCTTCTTCCATGTCATTTATGAAAAGATTAAACAGGATCAGCCCCAGGACAGAGCCTGTCCTGGAAAATGCACACATAATTTTATGCAGACTTGACGAAGAAAATATTTACAAACTAAAGTGGAAACAGGATGAAATGAATTTGTGCTTGGAAAAATGGAAATAGGTAAATTCATTGAGCCCTTGTGGAAAGCATCTTAGATAGAAGGAACTGGTCTTACATGCATAGCTGATGTGACCATATCCTTTTTGATGACCATCTGGAGCACTTTTCTGTGAATAAAAGTTTTGCAAATGATGTAAAGATTGGGGAGACTGGTGATGAATAATGATGGGAACTTGGCGGTCATGCACAGAGCTACGTGGGCCGCTTGATAATCTCAGCTTGTTCCAACAATACATGCATCAAGGTAGCCAAACATCAAGGTCATACATCTAGGAATGACAATGTATCTGATTTCCTGGGGCATTGCATTTTCTAAAAGTAGAGTCTGCCTGGAAGGAATGTTATGGTCATCAGAATTTGGCCTTTACACAGGCGTTTGTCCCCCTGCATCCCATCAGGCAATTCTTCTCCCCAGCTAGCCGTTTGTTCCTTCCTGGTATGGCAGCGATGTTGAATCTCTTTGAGCAGAAGGGCAAAACTCAGTTTCAGAGAAGTGCTTAAGGTTCTCACTCCAGTGGCAGGTAGTGCCAAAGGCAAAGGGCGGGGGAAGGCCCAACATACCAGTATATTTCAGACGAAACTTCTTGCTGCCAGGAACTCTACCTTGGAAGAAGCACTGTACAGTTTTGGAATGGGAAAAATTGTGCAAAAGCTGGGAAACCACCCAATGATTGGTGGCAAGAGGAAAGGTGGTGGGGCCATGTAAGAAGCCCTGGAAAGCCAGACCGAGACCCCAGGTAAGCTTTATTTGGCTCATGGGGCTGATATTCAGCATCCCTGCTATATGGAATAACTTATTCCACTCTGGTCGTCCTTGGTAGTCTTCTGTGTTAAGACCACAGGGTGCTGCCTTAAAATACCAGCTCAGAATCTTTGTCCAGATATTAACCAAATGCTCTTTGCTTTGACTGGTAGCTGTTCAAGGTCTCAAACAGAGGAGGGAAATGCCAGAGAATCTTAAGCGATGGGAAGGTTCATACTGGAGAATTGAGATATCCTGCTCCCAAGCCATTTAAGGCACTTGCACTAGACATCAACACCTTAACCTGAGCTTGGAAATAGGTCCATAGCCAGTAAAGAGAGGCAGGTCCCTGGCCCTGAAGGAGTTTAGAGATCAAAACCAGTTAAAGATGGGCAGTTCAGTCTATTTCTGGACCATGCTCATTTTGCATGTGTTCCTCTACAAAGCTGTTCTGTCCCATCTCAAGTTGTTGTTGTTTAGTTGCAAACTTGTGTCCAATCCTTCATGATCTGGTGGACAACATTCCTCCAGGCTCTCCTGTCCTCCACACAATCCTCCAGAGTCCACCCAACCCCACACCCACTGCCCCAGTGACCCCATCCAGCCACCAACTTCTGCTGTTTCCTTCTCCTTCTCCCATCATCAGGGTCTTCTCCAATGTGTCCTTCCTGCTCATTGGGTGAAATAAGATTATTTGAGCTTCATCTTCAGTATCTGTCCTTCTAAAGAACAGTCAGGGTTGGTTTCCTTTAGGATTGACTGATTTGATTTCTTTGCAGTCCAAGGGTCTGTCAGGAGTCTTCTCCAACACCACAATTCAAAAGCGTCATATTAACTGGAAAATTTGTGTCTGGGGGACAGTTAATTATGCACAGTATTCACATTTATGCAGCATTTCAAAATGTATTTCCCTTAAAAGTATTCATTTCTGGACAAATTTGATAAGGATTTTTAGCTGAGAGCTGCATCTGAACATTTGGGAAGGGTGAAAGCCAGAAGATAACGAAAGTTCTGGCCTGCGCATTAGTGGTACAAGTGGTCCTTGTTATGTCGGTTCGCATCAGAATTCACAGAGACTGCGTTCCTCCAGCATTCCGAAAATACAGCAGCACAGCAGCAAGTTGATGCAACAGATACAAACAAGAGCGAATTTTCACCACTGTCTTTTCAGCTGGACGAGATTGCACTCTCAAGCCACTTCCAGTTCTAAAATTCTGTTCCTGTGGATGTTTTCACATCTCTCCTGATCAATAAGGAGATGGTCAACCACATTCTGTGTGCTGGCTGAAACTTCTGAGTCCTCCTTAAGAGTAGACTTACTTAGAGGGTGTTATAGCAGTCAGGTCTGTGGTTTACAAAATGCTTAGTCCTACTGAGTGCAAAACCTAAGTGGGCTAAGTATAGTAAATACCATCATAGAGCCATGGCTGGTCCCCTTGCATTTTACGACTCTGTTCCCACCTCTGAACCTCTTCATACACTGTTCCTACTAGCATATACCTTTGGCACTCACAGGAATTGAGGACATGGGCAAGGGGAACAAAAATGACAGAATTGTCTGAAGTAAACAACAGAGACTAATTTCTAGCAAAGGAGCTTAAGGCCATCGACGGCCTCCATCCTCATAAATCGTGCAGCCTTATATTCTCTCCATTATCTCTGAGAGATAAGACATCTGACCCAAGAAAGGGAACCAAGGACAGCCCAGGATGATAAATTGCAACTGAAGTGATACACCTTTAGATACAGAAGGCTTTCAGCCTGTCTTCTGTCTGTGTGGGTGGATTGGAGATGGGTGTGTGTGAGATCAGTAGAAAAGTCCCAGTTGCGGAAACCTTTCCCCATCCCTAGCTACTAAGCACCTGTCCACATGCATGCATTGAGCTTTCCTTGAAGAGGTAGAGTTACATGCTGCATAAAAGGCACTGAAGGAATGACATCCCAGGATATTTATGAATATTCATATTGCCAAATTTTCCCAGTTGCATTGAGCAATGGGCGAAAACCTGATACAATGAACTTCGACCATGAAGTGAGACCCCAAGGATTACTGGAAGGCTTCCTTCAA